CTCTCTCTCTCTCTCTCTCTCTCTCTCTCTCTCTCTCTCTCTCTCTCGTTCATCATGGAAACATTGCATATTACATGTTCACATAGTTGTTATTATGACATCTCTTTCTATTATTAGGTTGTATCATCTGCATGATGCCATAATGTTCCCCTTGCCTTCTTTTAATGCTCATGAATGTTAAATGGATACAAAAGGTAAAGATAAAGGTTTCCCTTGTCCAGTTGTGTCCAATTCAAAGAGGTGGTGATCATCTCTGTTTCTTAAGAGAAGGATCCAGCATTGTTCAAAGATGCTTCTGTGGTCATGTAGCCAGCAAGGCTGTATGCCAAAGCACACGGAAGGCTGTTATCTTCTGACCAAAGTGGTACCTGTTTATCTACTTGCATTTGCATGCTTTTGAACTGCTAGGTTGGCAGTTGGGTCTCAAATTGTCAATCTTCTCATTGACAAGCCCAGCATCTCTCTCTCTCTCTCTGTGTGTGTGTGTGTGTGTGTGTGTGTGTGTTCAAATTCTGAAGGAATGTTAATTGTTCCTTATCAAACTGAAAGGCTGTTTGGCAGAGTGTCACCAGATCATCAGATTACCCAAACCTTCAAATGTTCCACATTTTTCTGAACTTCTTAATAAAATGGTTTCTTGAGTTCGTCATTTAGGAGTCAGAATGAAATGCACAAATATAGAAGAGGTGTGCCTAGCTTAGCCATACTAGAAAAAGATCTTGGAAAAGTAACTGGTTACAAACTGAATGCGAGTTGTGTGGGTGCCGAAAAACAATTCATAGCAATTTTAGGTTGCTGCAGAGTATAGCTGTCCTATTGGAGGCAGTAATTATCTTACTTTATCCTTCTATGAAATGTTGGTTCCAGTGTTAAGCATCAAATTTTAAGATGACTCAGATAAATCGGGACAGGCTTAGAGAAGAGTATAATCTGGGGCCTGGAAATTAAGTTCTATCCCAAGAGATAGAAGTAACTGAAAATGTTTAAGAAAAACTGAACATGGTATAACAGCATTCTTCAAGTATCTTAAATTTAATCAAGGCATGGTTTGTACTGACCCCCAAAGCATAAGAAACTGAATAATAGATCTACATTAGCAGAGAGCAATTTCTGCTTTATTTCAAGAGACAAAGTAATCGCAGCAGTAAGAGTAGTTTTACAGTTGGAAGAGAACATGAGTTTTCTTTCACTAGATATATTCAGGTAGTGACTGAAAATCAGGGATGTTTTCATATGGATCCCTGTACTGAATAGGGGTTGGACTAGATGACCTAAATGACCCCTTCCAACTCTCTGATTCTCTCTCCACCAAGCTCATTACTGCCAGTTTTACTGTGATCAACCCTCTAAATTTGTAAGAAGGATTATTTTCCCATCATAAGTGTAGATGGCAGTGCCTGAATATCTGACTTTCTGTGTGAAAAATAAGGACTCTACCATTTAGGCGCAGGCTGCTACATACAGTGTAAGCTGACTTGCAAATTCCATGTTTTATCCTGCTGCTGGCCTAATCTCTTGGGTTTTGTTTTCTAGCATGGGCAAGATGATGACAGCTCCAGCAGCAGCAGCAGCTCTGACAGTGATTCTGGCAAGGTAAACAAATTTGAATAGGTACTTGATAGATCGAAGAGAAATATATAAATAATTAGAGTTGCCAGTTATTTTCACCAGCTTGGTATTCCCAGAGGTGTGGGATTTCATCAACTCCCAGACAGCAAGGATGGGCGATTTGTGGAATTATTAGAGTTGAAGATGGATTATCAATATAAAATGTTATCGGTTGAAAAAGGCTGTTTTTAGCTACTACTATTAATAGCCTTTCAGCAGTCCTGCTAGAAAACAACTTTCCTCTAGCGGTGTAGAAACATTTGAAGTTGCAAAAGTCCCAACTCTGAAACATCTCTCATTCCAAAATCCAGATTCTGACTTCCAGAAATCTAAATTGAAGTGAGCCATTCTCACTAAAACAGAGTCAGGGCTGTTTTGCTTTTATGCTTCCCTCCCTCCATCCCTGCAGGAGTATCATATTGAAAGGATAAATGATTTAAGGTCAAATGATGCTTTTCTTTTAATCATATAGACTCACAGTGGTGATAAGAAGAAAAAGGAAAAGAAATGACTTTGAGGCAGCCCACACCTTCTAACTGAATTGAAGTTCAACTAGTGAAGGGAATTTGACGGAGAAACAAAAATTATGTTCATTTTCTTCAAAATAAAATGTCTTTATTTTGGTTTACCTTAACATGAGGTGCTTGTTTTATTTTTATTTTTTCATTTTTGCTCGTTTGACTGAGGCTTTGTGTTAGGAATGATCAATAAATGAATGGAACCTATAATGAAAGATACACACTTATGCTCTTGTTCAGTGTACTACTGTAATAGGTTAGCCAACTAATCTTGTCTTCATATAGGTTATTGCATTCCAATTCCATATTTACTTTTTCATCCTCTACCCAATAGACATATACCATCAGAAATAGTATAGGGTTTCTTGCTTCAGCAGGAGGTTGGGCTAGAACAGGGGTGTCAAACTCAATTTCATTGAGGGGTGCGTCAGAGCTGTGGTTGACCTCAGGGAGCCAGGTGGGTGTGACCAACAGGATAGGTGTGGCCAGCTTGATGCCACTCTGCAAACTGCTGATATGTTTCCTCTTTGCGTTGGATAGACCAGGCTGAAGCCACACTGACCCGATGTTTCCTCTTTGCATTGGGCAGACCGGGCCAAAGCCATGCTGGCCCAATATTGACTGTTCGCATTGGGTAGACAGGGCCAAAGTGATGCGGGCTGGCCTCTTACATTTTCCAGGATGCCCTGCAGACTGGATACAACCATATTGCAGGCCGCAGGCCTTGCGTTTGACACCCATAGACTAGAAGATCTCCAAGGTCCCTTCCAAATCGGTTATTCTGCCATTTAATAATAGTCTGTCATTAATGATCATATTCAGTCTGCTCTACTCTAGGAATAGTTGATCTGCAGGACATGACCTCTGAGGATGACTTTATTCAGGGGCAGGACATTACATTTACTTAAAATAAAAACTCGGTGTTGAATGAACCAGTGATGTCATTATTTATGAGGAGAAGTTTAAGTAAGGAACTGAAATAGCAATTGCAGTTGGCTGTATTAAACCTGGCGATTACATGAACAAGTAATCTTATATGGGGACTGGGTGCTACAAAATATGGTGGCAGCCATTTAAATGGTTTTAAAATCAGATCAGTGGAAGCTCATATAACCAGTGTGAACAATGTATTGATGGCAATATGGTAGGTCCATGATCAAATAAGTATATGAAGTCGTGGTTAAAATCAGCCTTGTAAGATAGGCCAGACTAAGAAATCAAAGCCATATAAGTATGAAACTGCTTTTATTGGAATAATTCTATAGCCAGGTTACAATGGCAATTAGGACCGGAATTACCATCATTAAGTGACATAGTTATACAGCATGGTTCATGTGGCAGTGTTGTTTAGTGAGAGCAGTCCTGGCAGTCCTGGTTGCTGTTGTTGTTAAGCAGGGATCTCACATAATTGATTGACTTCCATTTTCCTGTCAGCTTCACCATTGGTTTTGCTTGTGGGAAGCTGGCAAAGAACATGGGAAATCTTGTTCACATAATTGCTGTTTGTTGCAATATTGTAATTGCCAGCTAGGCACCAAACATGATTAGTGATCATCTGAATGTAGGGATGCTGCAATGGCCTGAACTCCAAGGACTGGTCATAAGTTCCCCCTGATTTAGAACCATCATAAGTCATTGCTGAACAAGTAGCTGTAACCTGAAGAATACCTGCATTATCAGAACCTTGCAAGTTTGGATGTGTTTCCCTCCTTCTCCCTTGTGTGAATTTAGGACTCAATCTGTGCTTATCTCATCATTGCCTTGGTAGTGGCTCTTTCTCCTTCTAGGCCAGGGCTGTCAAACTCAAGACCCTTGCAACACATGCTGACCACACCCATGTCCGGTTTAGCAAAGGGGAAAAAAGTCCCAATACATCACATGACGCTGCCGTGATGACATGAGTTTGACAGCCTTGTTCTAGGCCATTCCCTACATCCTTTACAGTTAACACCATTAATTCAATTGCTTTATATAGTACACTGTGCAGTAAAGTAATCACATTGACTGGATTTGCAAACTCATATTAACTACCTAATTCTGCTTCAGAGTATGCAAACCTAGCTAAAACCTGCTGGTGGAGGACAGATGCAGGAAAAGACTATTTTTCTCTATTCTTTGCTATATGGTACCACTTTGTCACTCTCACTGAACTAATGATATACTATTTTATATAATGATATAATGATATACTGAACTAATGATATACTATTTTTTTCTTTCTATTTTTGAATAAGAAGCATTATTCTTAGCATTCTTCACTTATCTCATCTTATTTTAAACTTTAGCTGTCTTAACCTTATATTTAACAATCAAGGCTACCAGTCCACCTTATCAACACATAAATACACACAGATACACACACAGAGACAATTTTGCCCAAGCAAGGTGAATTAAATAAAAAAACACTGCCATGATAATGTGAGGAGAAATCTTGTCCAATGGTTGGCAGATATCTCCTCAAGTAAAAGTAACCCTTATGATAAGGCTGTGATTGGCCATGTCAACAACAACGCTTGGTACTCATTTTGATTTACACATTTTTCAATCAGCTATCATAGCAGATTGTTCTGCCGTAGGGACTTTCTGCCTTTAAACCATATACAGTACTATTTATCAATTGCCCTTTTAAAAGATTCCTGTCCACCATATGGAATAGAAATCACAAATTAACAAAATCAGTAGCATACAAAGAAAATGCACACAAAATGTTCTATAGGTAGCACTTACCCCCTTTGAGATTAGCGAAAATGTATCCCAAAATGAGTCCCATGTGTTGGAAATGCAAAAAAAAAAAAAGAGGGAACATATTACCATATGTGGTGGTCTTGCCCAGAGGCTCGAAAATACTGGCTTAAAATCAAAGATTGGCTACAGGAAATTACTAATGAACAACTAGACCTAGAACCGGAACTCTTCCTATTGGGGATCTTCAAAAAAAATATGCAAAGAGCACAAAATACTTATTATTACATATATTGACTGCTGCTAGAATTGCCTTTGCCCAATGTTGGAAACAACCAGATATACCTTCAGAGAAACTGGTCATACAAAAAGTTATGAACTGTGCTGAAATGGACAAATTAACGCTGAGTTCAAAAGATAAAGAAGCTTCAATATTTTATAAGGTGTGGAAACAATGGTATAGCTGGATAGAATGGAGATAGATTAAAGATAGATAGTTATCAAATATAAGTAACAGATAAAACAAGAATGTAATTATGCATAAATCAATACCTGTAGAGCACGAATTATTGTTATATGATAAGCACTACAAATTGTTGTTATTGAGTGATATATTTTTTATGTTTTTAATGTAATAAAATTCAATAAAGTCTATTTTAAAAAAAGATTCCTGTCTGTTTCCTAGGTGTGTTTTCACTAGCCTTAAGCTGCTGTAGTAAGAATGTATATAGAAGACTGGTTGTGGTCAATCTCTTGTCCTTTCCAGAAAGAGAATGGTTTGATTAAGGCAGTTGTCAGTTTTAGGCAAGAAAGCTGCAAAGTTGTATCTATGTAGTTATTGGTAATAGAGGTTGATGTGAGGATACAGTTTACCTTTTTAAGGAGGGCTTCTTGGTATGGAGTACTCTGGTATGATAGAATTTCTTTGTGTATATGAGAGAATCAGTCTATAACTTCTCAATCATGACAACTTTATGATGTGTGAGCTTTAATTCCCAGAATTCTCTAGCATGCTGGCTAGTGAATTTAGGGGGTTGAGGTCTGCAAATCTTAAAAAGTTGCCAAGTGGAGAAACACTGGTCTACAACACTGAGGGAAGATTGCCATCTACTGCTTCCACTGGCACATTGCAGCTTCTGTTCTGGCTCTTTGGAGTAGCTCTTTCCAGCAAGTCTCACATCTGCACTATCTGCACTATCATCCTGCTCCTGCCACTGGTTAAACTACATGTAGTCCTCAATTAGTGACTGAAAATGGTTCTAGCAAAATGATCCACATGGAACCACATGACTGAGAGACAAAGATGCTGGGAAAATTGCTAATTGCTTCTGTCTCATTCAGATAAAGCCCTCTCATACAACCTTCTATGTCTGACCTGGTTTCTTTACCTTTTTTACCCTCTCACAAGCTATCTCTTCCTGAGGTGCTTTTTTTCCATAGACTGATTGCACTTCCCTAAAAAGCTAAGGGTAAGTCAACAAGCTCAGCTCTGATCTTAATTATTTGATGGTAGACTGCTAGTTGCTGGAAACTGAGCAGACCTTAATCAGTTTCAGGGATTGGTCACAAAGTTACTTTTTTTTAAACACTCATAATTGCCAACTATCTGAGGCAATTGCTAAACAAGGATTATTTGTATTATATTTTAATGCTGTAATTACTCTAATAAATAAAAGCATTATTTCATTTGAGGTAGAACATATTTTTAAATAAATCTTGCACATTAGATATATTTTACCAAACTGTAAAGTGGAACTTAACAGTCCAAGCAGCAACTACTGTGGCCTGTGCTGACTTGGGAATGCAGCCTGAATTTGTCCTGGATTTCTTCATTGGAAACACATTTCCTGAAAAAATTGGGTTTTGGCAATTCCCATATTTTCAACATTGATAGAATATGAGAAATAATGACTTAGACATCCTCAGGATTGGGTGAGAATGAAATAGGACATGCCATTATATTGACTGCAATTGAAATTCAAATGCTTTTTAATATTAAGTCTCTGCTGACTATATAATTTTACCTATGTTTATATCAAGTGTCAGGATGATATTTGATGGCACAATGCTGTCCTGAGGGCTGGTCCCCATTTTGAAATACAGCAGCCATTTGTTAACTCGAATTGTTTCAAATTAGAAACTCATGTTTTTCCCTGTTTAAAAGCTTGTCAAAAAGCAGGCAGAAAAATATATCAAATCAATCTCCATGAAGATGGAATTATAGGTAAATCTCGCTTGTCAACCATCTTGTTTAGCAACTCTTCAAACTTATTATGGGGTGAAAAATTACCTTTTTAACCAATCATTGCATTTATGATCTGCACAGTGTCTCTGTGTTCCTATAATTGCCATTTGTGTGCTTTGTAACTGGTATTCAACGAGCAGAATGGAGAAGGTGGCAATAAAATTGGAAGTTATGATCACATAAGGTCTCACTTAATTATTGCAGCAGATCATAAGTCCATTGTGGTTACATGATATTGACCATGATTTTCAACAATGGAGTTGCCCATCCCAATTGTGGTTTCTAAGCAAGGACTGCCTGCATATAATTTAGATATTATTATGAAGAATGCTGCCTTATAAAAGCAATGAAAAAGACAGGACCAAAGGAACATGTAATGTATGGTTTATCTTATATTTGACCTCTCTGGCTAAATGAAATGATTGGATTTGTGGGATTCTTAAAAATCTTGAGTTCTTAATTTGCAGGAAGATGTGTGTATATTGCCATGACAACCAGCTCTTCAGATTTTCTTTGAAATTACATCTCATAAATACCTCTTAAACTAAAATGTAATGTGTAAAATGGCAATTGGGGGGACATTTACCGTACTTATTAAAATGAAAAGCAGCAGTTGTGAGGTAAAGATTATTCTGCAGGAAAACAACAGGGTAACTCTTGATTTCCAAACCGGATTTCATAATCTAAGATTTGCTGTGGTTGCTTCTACAGGGATGTTGTAACCAACCTATGATGATTTCCTAATATTTTGGCAATTACCACTGGCTATAATGATATTGTGAAAGTTGATCAACACGTGTTAGCCATTTTGTCATGTTTTTAGCTAAGCGAAAGAATATGAATGATAGGATTATATTGTTTATCACAGAAGCCTCTTTATGAAAGGGAGCTGTTTAGAAAGGGGGTCAATCTGTAGAATATTTATCTCATTACTGAGCATTGGTTCAGGCCATATGATCTATTTATCTCATTACTGAATACAAGGGGGTATGGTCCATTCTCCCAAATTAAATTGCTATGTTCCTTCAATATTCTGCTCCCTCAACTATTTTTATGATGTATTCTTGTTGGATTTTTTTTACCCTACCAAGTATTTTTTCCCCTCTGGTGATATAATCATGACTCCAAAGTTGTTTTTGTTGTTTGAAATGGTGGTTTACTCTGTAGTCTCAATCACTTTCTACACAAACTAAGACAAATTCAGAGAAATTTGGGAGATTTCGTCCAATATCTGATCTAAATAGCAGCTTTGGGAAGGATGACAAGTAATCTAGCTTCTAAATGGTGGCTTCAAAGATTGCAAATCACCATGATCACATTCTGATGGCATATTAAACCACACTGTTGTCTGGATTATTGTGTGGATCCCTGAAAGTTAAATAGTTAATAATGATAATAAATAGCATTAACTTTTCCCATGTTTTAAAACAACCCAAATCAATCTTGTCTCAACTCATCGACTAGGATTTACTTTCACCGGCTCATAGCATAAATTAATGCTTCTCAACCACAGCAACTTCAAGATGGATGGACTTTTAACTTCCCATCATTCTGGCTGAGCAAAGTTTGAGAGTTGACATCCACATATCCTAAAGTTGCTGAGGTTGACAAAAACTAGCATAAACCATAAGATAAACTAAATCTCAATTGTTTTAGGAAAAAAACTCTCTTTTAGTTTAGTGTGTACCCGTATGTCTGTGTGCATTGGTTGGAAATCCCAAAGGCGTTTTTTCCTTGAAGATGTTTTGCTTCTCATCCAAGAAGCTTCTGACTCAGAACTGAAGAAGTTTCTTGGATGAGAAGCGAAACGTCTTCAGTCTTCAAGGAGAAAACAAAAGTCTAGTTGTCTTTTGAAAAAGCAACTTTGGGACAACCATGAGAATCTCCACAGACATTGATTGGAAATGTCAATTTTGCTGCCCACCACTTTATGCCTGTCGCACATTATGCAATATACGAAGGATTGCTGTTCCAGAGAACAATATTCTTGTAAGTTACCCTAGAAGCAAAGTGTTTTCTTTTCTTTCTTTTTTTCCACCGAGCTGACCAAATGAAACCCAGCGAAAACCTTCACAATTGCAATAGTGTTTACATCTAGGGCAGTACCCGAGGGTAACAAGTGTACAGCTCTTTCTGTATAGGGCTGTGCTCTTATGGACCATCCTTGCACATCGGTGGCATTCTGTTTTGCATTCAAGTAAATTCCTCTTATGTCATCGTTCCATCAGAGGAATGAATAATAATATGACCAAGGCAATGACAGGGAGAAAAAAAAAACCACGAGCTGCTTTTAATTTCAGAACGACGCAGCGGGAAGCGGAACGTTCTCGCTTACACTTCTCCCTTTAGGAAAGCAACTTCTTTGGGACGTCAAGGGCAGAACCGGAGCAGGAGGCAAGACGCCACCCCACCCTTCCCCTCCCCTTTTCTTTAGCCGACCGGTTCGCGATTCCCAACTTTCATCCCTCTCGGAGGTTATGAAACGCACTTCGCTACGTCTGTTTCGCAGTGGGGGCCGGCCAAAGCCGGCAGCCAATCGGCTGGCTCTCCGACGCCATCACACGGGGCTGCTCCCGATTTTATGTAATATTCCGGCCTGGGGGTGGTGAATGAGGGTAATTTACACGCTTGTGTGTTGGTTATCAGAGAAATCCGGGGGCTGAAACCGATCCGGCATAAATGAGACGATACTGCAAGGAGGCTGAAAAGTTACTGGTTTGGAGGCCCCTCCTCCTCCTTTTATTCGTCCCACGCCGAGACACCTTCCCCACTCCGCCCCGCCTCCTTGTCGCTAACTAGAAAAAGGATGCCGTCTCCTGCCCAGGCTGAGAGATCGCCCCGGGCGACAGGAAGGGGGGCCCACCACCCTGAAGGGGAATCAAGTCTTCTCCAGCGATTGCCCATTGATTGATTGATGGATGGATTGATTGGCGCGAGAACGTCGTTGAGTTGCAACAGTTTTAAGCCTCTGAGGAAACCAGGGAGCTGTGGGCGGAGAGGGCGCTTTAGATGCTCAGACCGAGCAAGCACCGGGGTCTTTTAAAAGAAGAAGGAAAAAAAAAAACACAACAACAAAAGCATGAAGCGGTCGATTTAGTGGTCGTTGCATGGAAAGCAACCCCGGCTTGCTTCGCGCGAAGTTGGTAGGAAGCTGCGCGTTTGCTTTTTGCTCCAGTGCCTGGAGAGAGAGAGAGAGAGAGAGAGCGAGAGAGCGAGCGAGCAGCTCTTTTCCTTCGGAAATTGAAGAATTCCTCCAAGGGGCAAACAATCGGGAACCGCGAGGGAGGTTTGTGACTTGAAGAGCCGGCGATTTGCTCCGTCTTTGCTGGTTGGACAGGACACAAAACCAAAAAAAAAAGGGGGGGGGGAAATAAAGTTCCAGCTTTGTCAAAGTGTCCCACTGGCTCTTTCGGCCACTTTTCTTTGCTGCTCTTCGGCAGCCGCCGACCTTTGCCCGGTGCCCTCCTAACTTCTCGTCTAGGCCGCGATTTCCCGTCCCCTCTCCTCTGACGGAGCAGAAGCATGGAGCTTGTTCTCTGTCCCTCGTGTCGCATGATCCTCCGGGACCCGGTGACTGTCTCCTGCGGCCATTCCTTCTGCAGGAGATGCCTGGGCGAAACCTCGCCTTCCGAGTGCTGCCTCTGCGGGGAGAAACTCGGCCTCCTGGGCTCGCGGAAGCCGAGCTCGAACGTCCTGCTCGGGAACTTGCTCGAAAAGGGCTTGGATACGGCCGCCAAGGTGGCCCGGTTGAAAAGGGACCTGCGGGAGCTGGTGAGCAACGGGGACTTCCAGGAAGCGATCAGGACGCTTCAGAAGGGAATCGGCTTGGGTAAGGTTTGCGTGCTATCCAGAGAGGATGCTTATTTTTTGTGGCGGGGCGGGGGGGGGGGGGGGGGAGAGTGTTGCGAGGTTGAACGACGGGAAGGCTGGGTGATATGCGCGGAACTGACCGCCAGGTGCTCCCTGGTTATGCAACTTGCCACCATCTCGTTGTGTAAGCAGGCGAGGGACAATTCTTGGTAGCCCTTTTCACTAACTTCAGCTATGGGTTTCCTCTTCCTTAAAAGGCTGGCGATTTTATGGCCATATAAGTATTTGGGTGTAGGGTATCTCCCATTTGTGCCTTTGCTGCTAGATCTTGTGATTTCCTTCTCTTTTAAGTAAAAAAAGGGCTTACTTTAGTTAGTTTTGTCCACAGAAGTGAAACCAAATGCTGCCAATGGTAATGGTCACATCAGAAAATTAAATATTAAATCTGAAGTGTGTATGATGATAGGACTGTGTTGTTTTTGGACTTATTCCTTAGGAGCCTTTAAAAAAGGAGTTATGTAACTTTGCTGACTTCCTTGGAAGGCCATGGGGCCATCTTTAACTGTTCATGGAGAGCAGGAATAAAATAGAGCAGATCTTAAATATTGGAATGTGCTGAAATGAGTAGATTGACATTTGAAATCAGAGAACAAGATGATAAACAATTTTATAAAATTTGGGATCTATTCTGTCAATGGTTAGACAATAAAACATGGTAATGAAATATGTAGATTCTTAGAAAATAATAAATATATAAAGATGTATTCTTTTCTTATATCTACAAAACGATTGTAGGATAGATTTGAGATGATTACATGAACTGTTATAAAACAAATTAAGTAAAATATGATTATTTCGTGAAACATGAATGAATAAAAGTATAGTCAAATGATTGATTAACAATGATATTAATGTATTTAATACTTGATTGAAAATATGAGAATATATATAATGTAATTGTAATTGAAGACTACGAAATGGAAGCACAAAACAATTTGTAAACCAACCGGCATACTGTATGTATATATATGGAAGATGGCTTGATGTTTTTATGTTTTGTTTGTCTATGTTCGTCTTAAAACCAATAAAAATTTAATAAAAAAATAGAGCAGATTTTTATAATGTTTCTATAATTTGAGGGCTTGAAAGTATTTTTGAAGTAACAACGATGAGCAGTTGTGACTTTTCCCAAATGATGTGGAAATCTTAACCCTCCAGATCACCATTCTCAATGTTGAATTTTTTTGTATGCTGTGTGGAGTCTTTATTTCTTTACCATTTACTGAAGAGGCAGACATTCAACAGATGCTGCTTTCCTATTATGTTGATGTTACGATGACAGATATACCATTTTTTTAACATGCTCTCATTAAACACATAGTGCCTTTGTTAGGGAAGAAAAGATGATCTGTTATTACCCAGGGGAAATAATCTCATTTCATCTTTAATCTTAAAACTTACATTAAAATCAGCTTTGGACCTGGTAAGCTGATGCTACTTAAACTTTAGGATTTAGGAATGAGTAATTAGGAACCAGGCTTTTCTTTACTGATTCAGACTTTCCTGTGCGTGGAAGCTGACACACCCCTCTCATTTATAGTGCTGTTATAAAATGCTAGCTCTTGTTTTGCAATGAGTCAGACACAAGTGTCAGTACAGGTGTTTCCATCAACAAGTGAACTTATACAGGAATATTTTCATCTACTTTTTTTAGATGAATTTTTTTTTTACTTCAGTTGGAGGATTTCTTCAATTAATAGGGATCTAACTCAAATCTAGCAATCCTTGAATTTAATCCAGGTGCATTTATAACATGGACTGTCAGAACTGAATGATTAAGCAATATTAAACAATGCTTCGTCATTTCAGCTTTTTACCATTTGTACTATACTTTTCTTTATAAACACCAAAGCAGGTGAGGTGAAAATGTGCTGTCAAATCTTACAAATATTAATCTTGGATTTGGCTTTTTAAAAAATCACTTTTTAAAAAAACTTTAACATCCATGAAAAGTTTTTTGGAGATTAAAAATATTTACAACATTATGTTACTCAAATTGTGAAATACTGAGGTGTTAATACATTCTAAAACCAGACTTTACCTATTACCATTTATAAATATCTATAAACTTTAATCTTGAGTAAGTCCTGCTCATTTTGTATTAATTGACACATAGGCCTTTTTCAATTCTTTTAATTGAAAACAGTGATAATATAAGAAAGATTTTGGACCAAATTCTTGTTTAAGGTGATGATAAAATTTGTTAAAATCTAATTAGCTGTGATTTCCTATTTTTTCTCACCAATGGATGTACCTTAACATCCATTATACATTGCTAGATAGGGGGAAAACATTAAAAAAAGAACTCTGTTGTGGTCAGTCATAAGTTAAGGACTACCTGTACAGGGTCATAAAAATACTACTAGAGTATGTGATCCACAGCAGGTGAAAGATAGCCGACTGAATTGTTTCTCTTGTTCTTTATTCCTCATTCTTTTAACATCTCCGTATTGGAAACTTCTTTGACAGGAGCTTTCTGCCATTGAACAACTTTTTTAATTCTTGTCAGTGGATGAGGCGAGTTCTCTCTTACCATTCACTCCTATAATCCCCCATCCTCAAATGATACAAGTATGACTGTATATTTCCAACTAAAAAACAATAGAACTTTTCCTTAAGCAGAGAATTGTTTTTGACAGTATCAGAATAAGCTACCTTTGGATGATTGCATCTGGCCATTTAATTGATGGATAATACTTAAGGCCAACTTTCTTGTCAATAAAGTAGAATTAGTGACTTTTAAAAAAAATCTGGCTAAACTTATTGGAAATGAACATAGCTGATTCTAGTCAATAAGTCCCTTTCTTGGAGATTTTCTTATAGTACTTTGGTGTGTATAACTGTACCATGTTTGTTTTTATTATTTCTTAGGAACAACAGTGAAATGTTCTGCTTCCTCCTACAGCTCCAGATGATCTTACATTAAGGCTGTGCAGATCAGAGCTTTATGTGGCTTTACAGGAGTATGAAGGGGCTCTTGAGGATTTGGAGGTTCTATGCAAGCAGAAGCCAGAAGAATGTGAAGTGAGTTGAGTGTAAAGCTGGGTGTTGTGATCCAGAATAAGCATATGTCCTTTCCAACTTTTAAGTGGTGAGATGAAGTAGCTTTTCTGGACAAGGCTACATTTGAACTCAGTTGCAATAGTAGTATAGAAAGGGAGCATGTTCCTTCATATAGTTGCTTATTTAAATACAAGGTAGGCTTTCCCTGATTCTGTACAAACCAGTATTGACTCATATGCTCTAACAGAATGATTAAAAGACATTCTCCTGCTAAAATCCACAGAAAGAAAAACTTGAATTACTTCTGGAAGATTCACAGATTTCTCTTGTAGTCAAAGAGGAATTTACCAATGTTTCAATTAATACCCAACTGTAGGCTAAATTTGCAGTCTGGAGAATTTCTGAGAAATACTGAATGTTTGAGCTTTGATAGTGGAGAACCAGAGAGGTCTTAGTGAATTTTACAAGGCTGCCTTGAAAAATTTCCCTATGTTTATGTTATGCTCCCTAACAATAAATTTCTCCACAAAAGTTAGATAATAGAGGTTCTTTACTATTTGGAACACTCGGTAAATTTGAAAGAATAGGTCATTTGAGTTTGCACATCCAATCAGCATAATATTTTAAAAGACAAGTGCTAGTGAGCTGTCCAGAAAATTTCTACTCTATATATCTACAGGGAGGAACGAATAATGAAACTGTATGGTAACATCATGGTCAGGGAGGCAAATCTCTAGCCCAACCTGTTCTGACAGATACCAGACTACTTTGAAGAAAAAAATATTGGATAACTGATTTATTGTGGCTTATTCCCTCAACCTGTATCTGTGCTAGGCTTGAATGGAGAGTTCAAGCAGAGAATTTGAAATCTTGATTTACATAGAGACTGAACCAACACTTCTCATATCTACTGACAGTCCCCTTTTACAGTTCCACAATATCTGTATCATTAATTAATTCCATCTCACAGGAGGGTCTTTTACTTTGGCATGTATACATCTACTTCCCACAATGGCACTTGTGGGTAAATATAATAATATTCCTTTCCAGGACCATTTGTGTATTTCCATAGACTTTGAAACTGAGATCATAGTCTACATGCTTTTGAAATATCTACATTAGAGATAACCTTTCATCTTAATTACAAACTATTCCGACCAACCTCACATAGGGACTGTGTGCTATCTACTAAATGATTAAGATGTCTCTAGAATTGTAGTCAAACTTTGTACCATTGCTATGATAGTTTCAGGTTTGTGGACCTAATTGCTTCCCCAGATATAATTAGTGCAAGTATGAATAGGTTTTTATTGGATGCTATGTAACTCTGTTTTTTAACTTCTGTATATTTGGTCTATGATTGTATATTTTTAATAAACCAAACTCCTCCCCTTGCATATTTTGTGCGGAGGGATGTTACAATGCAGGTTTAAAAGGGAGAGCTTGCATTGTGGGGCTATGATTAATGTTTTGCTAGTTTGGCATCATCATGATTAGTAATTTGAAAATGTTTTGGAGTGCTTAACATTCTTCAGTTGATCGTATGTTCAAACTTGGTCTCATATGTTCTCCTAATTTCTTAAAACTTCTTTTCTGTCTTTTGATATTTGTGTATTCCCAAATAATTTCTTTGACCTTACCTGAAGGTACATGCACAACTATGACAGTTGCTAACCACATTTTACAACAAAGCACTGATTTTTTTGTATTTGATCACAATTTTGGAAGTAAGGATTATGTTTTAAGACTTGCCAGACTTGTTGTTTTAGGCTCTGTTGAAAAAGCTCTTCAGCCTATGAGGGTAACAAAGCAAGAACAGAATCTGTGCGATTGTCATTTTGCTACATTTTTGGTATGAACATTTTGAAGAAAGGTTTATGGTAATAGGTGTGGAATATTTTTATTTTGAGTAAGGCCAATTTTATTTGCATTTTCAGATAGCTTTCTTTTGTTTTAGCCCTTTTTTATATTAAAGAAGTGGGGAAGTTGTATTGTTGCAATAATTGAAGTTATTTCATACTTCCGTCATAAATATGCTTTCCCCCTTCATCCTGTTTTATAGTAGATTTTTTTTTGTTTTAAGTTCCCAAGTTCTGTGCTCAGAGTAGGTTAATCAGGTACTGCCACTTGTTGAGACTAAAAATTAAGTTTTCTTTGAGTCCTACTCACAACGTTAATGAATGTATTCATGAAATTTTCTTGGGTCTCCCCAGTTCTATTCTAATATTATACCTAAGTAGCATTCTTAGTATCTCTGTAATACACACACACACACACACACACACACACACACAGGACATTACATATCCTTAGTATGAGCTAGATGTATTAAGAGTCTACACTTTTGATATACTTTTTGTTTTGCAACTGGGAATGTATTAACTCCATATAGCATCCATTCTCAGAAATGTTGGTGGGAAAGAGAGACCTTACCATTGGTTTCACAGATTTTATGAGTGACTGTTTTTGTGCTCTTAGTTTTCTTGCTTCACAGGGATTGTGGAAGTTGATGGGGAGAATGATCCCTATCCTAATTGTCATTTTATTGCTCCAGCAATATCTTTCACTGTTGCCCTGTTGAAAAATGGCAAGCTAGGCTAGAAGGAATATAGCTGGGTGATTCTTTGATTCTGCTAATCATAGGAAGGAGGATTTAAGTAAAGCTTGCCTGCTGATACATCACAAGTGTCAAACTCGATCGCATCATGTGACATCACATGATGTATCACAACATTTTTTGCCTTTGCGGAGGTGGGGGGCCGTGGTCTGCACATGATGCATCTGGCCTCCAGCCCACCATTTTGACACCCCTGGTACCCTGAGGACTATATACTTGATTGACTGATCGATTGACTAAACCTGCGGCCTTTGGCATTATGCAAAGCAATTTGCAGCTGCTGCAGAATGTTGTGACACTTCAGGAAGGCAACTGAAATGTGTTTTGTGTTTCTTTTCAGGGCTTTTTTAGAAAAGGGAAAGTGCTCTTGGATTTAGGGAACCAATCAGAAGCCCTGCTGCAGTTTCAACATTGCCTTAAACTGGACTCCAGTTTCCATGCTGCTCAAAATGAGATAGAAAAGGTAAATGCACTATTATGACTAAGAACCTTGAGATTAAATGTTGGAAACTTAATTGATTCGCATAGGAAGAAGCAGCGGTTTATTTTTGAGATTTCAGTAAAGGAAGATGAGATTCTTGTGCTGTACATGATGGAATTGATGAAGTTGTATCTACTCATGCTTCTCCAATTGGGTATCACACTGTTGTTGTTTTAAGAAAAGTGTTTTGTTTGAGAATTGTTAAGGATACAGAATTGTTAAGCTACACAGAAATTAAGATTTAAATGGCAAAATATGAATTGATGTGTCTATGGTTGCACACAGTTTGCCATTTTTGTGTGATGCTGGCAAAGGTTTATGACATTCCTAATAAGTATGGGGCATGTTCACAGTGGCCTGAATCACATTTTGGCCATAGTATTTGCTCAGCCCTAATAAATATATTGTTAGGCAGGTTGCTTCTGTATTGGTAAGAGTTATCAGAAATCATTTCTCTCTGTACTGTAGTGTCGTGGTCTAAACCAGTGGTTCCCAAAGTGGGCGATACCACCCCCTGGGGGGCGGTGGGATGCCTTAGGGGGCGGTAAGAGGCAAGGGGGCCGGCAGGGGGGCGCTAAGAGGTGGCAGGGGGGCGTTCGAGGTGCCGGCCCCGCAGGTTCACTGACTGCCAGCCACGCAGCCCATTGACTGTTTCATCGCTCCGTAGCCGGCGCCTCGAATGTGGAACCCACACGCGGTGAGCCTTGCCAAGCCTGGGGGGAGAGGTGGGAGGTGGTGGAAAGAGGGCGCCTTAGCTTGCAGGCTTCCCTCTCTGGTGGAAGGGGCGGAGGCATGCCAGAGGGCCCGAAAGCAAAACCCTCGCAAGGCGCGCAGTGGAAGGGGTGGGTGGTCCGGCGTTAGGGCCCCCTTCCCCGGAGGAGAACAAGGGAGCACGCAGCACCCACCCGGTCTCTGCCTCTCCAGCCAGCCAGGCTTGCGCGCAGGAAGCAGGTGGGTGCAGCTGCGGCTCTCCAAGGCGCGTGGCTCGGTTCGCTTCGGCTCTGTGTGGCTGTCCTGAACCTAGAACCTAGCCTCCCTCTGCAGCCCGGTTCTTCCAACCGAGCCCTGCACTTGCTTGCTTGCTTGCTTAGGTTCCAAGTGATCGTTCCCTCCGCCTCCCCTAGTCTGGGCTGCTTCTGCACGCCTTCCTTCTCCCGGGTGGAGCATAAAGATGGGCAGAATGTTTCACTGCGTGTGCATAGTACCTCCCCTTGCTTGGCATGATGGAAGTAGACCTTGGGTTGAAGCAAAGAGAGTGAGGTCGGTTGCATCGCTGCCCCGGGGAGGTTGGCATTGCAAAATTAGATGCCAAAGAGGGCTGGAGAAGGCAGCTGCAGGAGGCTGGAGAAGGGGCAGAGGGGCAGCTGCAGGGGGCTGGAGCAGGCGCAGACGGGCAGCTGCAGGGGGCTGGAGAAGGGGCAGCTGCAGGGGGCTGCAGAAGGGTCAGAGGGGCAGCTGCATTAAGGAGCAGGAAGATCTTAGCCATGGTTTATTCATTGACTAAGCCGGAATCAAACAGCATGCTAAACTCTAAACCAGAATGGCTGGGTTGATATATTCAGCCCGTGTTTCTCAACCTTGGCAACTTATGTGGACTTCAATTCCCACTCTGGCTTTGCTCTACTTTCTCAAAGTGCCACTGCTGTCACATTCGTTCTTTCTGTCTGTCCATCTGTCCATCCATCCATCCATCCATCCATCCATCCA